TGCTACACTTCCTCCTATTCCTTCCTGAGGGGAGGTAAATGCCATCCTTCCCTGAACAGCTGGCTGGCAGCGCATCTAGGGCAAGCTAACCTCCTGTCAGCGGTCTTCTGGACCAGCTGCTCTCACTTTTACATTCAGATAGCTCGAGACATAAAAGGAACATCATGGATTAATCTATCTTGAAGACCACACCCAAGTTGCACATTCAGCTCTGTTGGGATTTGGAATGGAAGATCTTGTTTTCTTGTTTTTTGAATTTTTAGGGGTTTGTTTTCGTTTGGTTTTTTGCTTCAGAGCTGCCTGCAAGGGTAGCAAAATGAAACATGGACAGACAGAATATTTGTATATGCTAAAGGTTACTTTAAAAGTCAGTTTAGTGTATTTTTAAGTTGTGCCTGGAATTAATGACTATGTGCTGGTTTGACTGTGCTCCTCACAATATCTCTCAGTTACAATCGACATGAAACCACAAAGAGCATTCATGAATCACAAATCCTTGAAGGTCACTTGCTATATTGTTAAAGGACATAAATAGTAGCTTTTTATTAAGCTGGTTGGCAGCCAGATACACACTTGATAAGAGACTTAACACAAGCGATATGGTCTGGTATCAGTAACCTGTCTAGGCTATTTATGGGGTTTGCACAAACAACTAAATTAGCCAACATTGAAATGTCAAATTCAGAAAAGATGGTAAGGTTCTTTATTTCCACAAGCTTCAGCTACTGTTCTTGGGTCTGTTCTGTTTTTAATAATCTGAGTTATGTACGTCAGAGTACTTACACATACATTTGCAAGAAGAAAAGTCTCTGCAGGAAAATCTGAGCTCCTTGAAATCTCTGAAAGTTTGTCCTCTGAAGTTCTTCCAAAATACCTACTTACACTTGGCTCATCTTAAGATTTTTTCAGGCTAAAAGAGCCAAAACAGTTTCCCCACATTCACATAGCACCCTTTTCCCTCATGTACGTGGAAAGGACGAAAGTCTTTATTAAAGTTCAGACATGCAAACTTCATTAAAGTTAATGGTCCAATTGCCAAATTCCCCTTTCCATTTTAGGGATCCAGCCTGACCAACTTTATTTATCCCAACTAAATTAGTAGGGCTGTTCAGAAGTAATTCGAGGAGAACCTTGCACACCAAGAGTGGCTCTCATCTCACCTACACATCTAAAATACAGACATTCCTCACTGTGCTAGTGTTGTCACTGGGGAGAAAGGGGGAATTCTGCCATGGGACTCATCTGACCTATGTCAGACATCTGTTTTATGATGAGCTGGATCGTACCCTAGGAAATGCATCTATTCAACATGCTCACATCTAGGTGTCTATGTTCCTTAAGAAAAAAAAAATCCAATTTCTTATGTCTAGAAGCACAACACATCTGCAAGAAGGTTTTTCAACTCTTGCCTCTTCTTAGCCTGTAAAATAATACTCTTCAAATTCAAATGATTCCTAAACCTTGGAGGAAGACTTTGAGAGATAAATTAATAATCACAGAAGTCCAGGAAAAAAAAAAAAAAAAAGAAAAAGAAAAAGGAGGCACATACTTTGTATCTGGAGCACATTCAGACACAAAGCATTGCTAGCATAATTGTACAGTGATTTTTAGGCAGGGTTTGTTTGTTTTCCTTTGGGGCTAGTTACACTATGCTATCATCGACGTAGGTCCGTAACACACATAAAACACAGTTAAAACTCTTAAGGAAAAATATTCTTACCCCCATTAGTCAGGAAATCCACACTAGAGCAATTACTATGTTCAGAAAGCAATTTCTAGAAAGGCTAATGGACAATAGGAACCACTTTTCAGATGTATCTCTCCCTCATGATGGTTCATCTTGGAAATGTATTTCTGTTTCAGTAGGATCTAAAAGCCTTGGTGAGGAAGAAGGACCTTGGAGGGCTTAGTGCGTGGCCTTTAATGCTGCCAAGGTGTCCACACATGCTCCACTCAACAGCATGCTATGAGGTGGAGTCCACGCAATGACAAAAGCATGGCAATTATAGGTGATTAACGTCAGCAAGTCCTAGAGGGCTCTGTTTTGTAACAGGAACCTCATTAGATGCTAAAAATGTGTCCAAATACTTGATACAGCTGTAGCATAGTTTAATTTCAGCTAGTTTCCTTTTCATAACAGAAGCGCTATCATATTATTGACTCTGACAGTGTAAGCCAAACCCGTACTGCTCATACATTAAAACCGTGCCAAAAGCAAAGACAGAAAAAAGGCACAGGGAAGGGAGAGATTCCCAGGCCTCAGCAGGTTCTTCTGTCAGTGCTTTTATTCCTGAATTAGTAGAAGAAAAAGGAAAAAGAAGAAGAAAATCTCCCTTTCTGTTAGCTTTCATGTTATTTTGTCTTACTGCTTTTTTCACCTGTCGAATTACTTTGACTGTGATGCTTCTGATCTTTAAGAAACCCTTTTGGGGAACTCTTTGGATGCCATCCTTGTTCTGCAATATAGTACCTTTGTGGTTACAGGAGTCAATTAATTCAAGCTAAATCTTAAATCCTTGTCAGTTCTGGGGCTGGATCCAGCTATCTGTCGATGAGTGGACCTCCCAAGGAGATGCCATACCCTCAGCAGAAGACAACTCAAGAGTTTGAAAATGCACTCAAAATCCCAGATGTTTTGGCATTTCAAAGGCTTACATTTTGAATCAGTCACTAATGCTAAAGCCCTTTGTTTTGGACTGTCCAACCTGAGACACATCTCAAGCCAAATATCCAAAACTAGTGGACAAGTTTGACATTCTAGGCATTGGTAAGTACAAGTACTCTCAGGACTTGTACCTTTCGTTACCCAGCTCTGACTTGTCTCTCCTGACTTAAATCATCTCAAAGCAAAACTTCTGTTCTAAGCTTGTTCTCCAGGTTCCTTGTAAAGGAGAAATACGTACCAGAAGGTCCTTTTTTTCTCTCTCTCTATTAACTACAGAATGAGAATAGACAACTGACTCCGCCTAGAGGTCTGATTTTAAATCAGAATATTTTGAATGGTGCTTAATTGAAGTAACAGTACATGTCTCATTTTGCAAAGAAAAGTATGTTGTCAGAAGACACGCACAGCAGGAGTGTGAGGAAGGACAAGGAGAGGGAGAACATTGACTAACAAATGGGCTAATACCCTAAAACCAAGTTCACTTAGAGAAGAATTGTCTGTTGCAGCAGAATTAAGACACTACTCTTGTATATTAATAGCTGAAAGCTTTCTTCACCACAGGGAGTAGCAACACTTCAACTTGAATTAAAGTTTGTTTAAATTCTTGCAAAAATCTACATTGATATATCAATGTAGTTGAACTTACGCGCTTTTCCTCTGTCATACCATGGAAACAATTGATCAAAAGCAAGAGATGATGAGAGTAGAGAATGAAGACAACTACACATTTTTAAAGAAAGTGAATGAGCTCTAGCAACTGGAAAAGTGTGTCTTGGAGATACCAGAATAAAGGCAGGCAGAAAGAAAAGCCTTTAGCAGTGTCCCCAGGGAAATCTACATAGGTTTCAAAACAGCCTGCTGATAATTTGGTATTTCTTAAATGTCTTTATTCCATAATTATCTCTTTTCAAGCAGAAAATTCCCCATGCCTCACTCCAATGGACGCAGTGAGTGTTCATGACAAATCTTTCCATTTCACTACTACGCTGCAGTTATCCAACAAAACAAAGACCTGAGCAGTTTTGGGTCTGAGACAGTAGAGAAATTGGCAAAGAGGCTTTGCTTCATTTCAGATTTTTCCCATGGCTCGTGGTGAAATTCAGGCCATCGGTTTTCTTAGAGCAGAGTCCAAGTCTCTTAAGAGAACTCATTTCCCTTGCTTGATGTCTCTATTCCTGAGCTGTGTGTGGTCAAGAGTTGCTGCAGCACACACTGCACACTCATGTCCCTGTACAACTCAGTAGTGACCTCTCCAGCTGAAAGAAGGGTGGTGTTAGGACTAGCTCCTGCAAGAGAAGTCACCAACCCGCCTGTTCTTGATTGCCCAAACACAGGACTTCAGAAATGCTTCAAGTCATCCTGGGGCACGTGGGACTTGCAGCCTCCTTCTCATCATCTTGCATCTTGTTTTTGTCTATAGAAGTTTATCTTCTGCCATAGCATATACTCATTACTGAACCAAATGACTTACTGGGCTTATTGTTGGGTTTTTTTGGTTTTGTTTTTTTTTTTTTTTTAAGTCCAGTTCATATTCAGTATCACTCTAATTACGGAAATGAATAACAATTTTAAAACAATAAGTGATGACTTCCTGTACAAACAATATCAACTTTCCTGATTCGGATTCTGTGTTTGTAAATAGCAACTATTTGTTCTCATGGGCAGCATGCTAAGACATGGGAAACAGGCACCTCGGTGATCCACATGGAGCTAATATGGGAAATGGACCGACACAACGTCCTGCCACAGGAAACAATACAAAACTAGGAGGGACTCTAATTTTACAAATGTTTATTTCCTAAGCACCTACAAATTCATTTTAATAAAACTAAACTCAAGAAAGGTAGTCTTCACAGAGGCTTTTGTTACCCCCATCTCACCCTGCCTTGAGACAGACAATTGAATTTCATGCATGTTTACAGAAACAATGACTTATATTAAGAGATTCCTTAAATATTTTCTTTCCAAATGATAGTGTTACACTGATCAGAAAGGGTGAGTTGGTATCTTGTTTCTTTACAACCTACTCAACAATTCTTCCTGAAATTGTAAATTTTTGAGGACTAATATACCTTTTCTCACCTTAGGGCAGACTGACACTTTCAACAGTCATTAAATGAGCAGTTACCTTGCAGCCTCTCTAGTTACCAGTAGTTTGCCCTAACTCTCATATGTGCTTACTGGGACACAATCAGAATCACACAGAATCACAGACTGTTAGGGGTTGGAAGGGACCTCGAAAGATCACCTAGTCCAACCCCCCTGCCAGAGCAGGACCACCTAGAGCAGATCACACAGGAACGCATCCAGCACTTAAGTGTTAAGAAATTGGTTTTCAATCAATCAAAAGAATTGTCAAATTCAGAAAATTAAGATGACAAAGAGGTCTAAGCTTGATACAGGTTTGTCCCTTAAACTTTTTACTGTTTTTTGGCAAGTAAGGTAGGAGAAGGAACATAATCTAATCCTATCTTCAACAGTGACATCAACATTTAACAACTGAATGTCCTTGAAAAATCAACAAAACCAAGACACTCAGGCAATTCTCCTTAACTGATTATTGGGGAGGAGAAGGTTCTGTCCAGAAACTATTCCTCCAGTGACATGTTTCTTTTCCATCACCTTTAGGCAGATAACCTTGGCTCACATACACCTAATTGAGGATATCTTTCAGATGCAAGCAAGATACATACAACTTGGGAAGCGGTGAAGAGTTAGAAAGACTGCTTTGTCTTCCATTTGTAAAAATTCAGGATCCAGAAAAATTAACACTTCAAACAGGAAAGAAACCAAGAGAACATAAAGGAATCTCTTATATTGTAAAGTGGGTTTAGCAGAGAAGTTCTCAGTCAGAATCACAACTATCTTTGCTCTTCTCATGTGATGAATGGAGAGGAGTGTGGGTAGATCTCAGATAAAGATGACATCCACGGTGGGAGGTTCAAGGAAGTCCCATGGTAGGAAACTTGCAAAAGTCATCCAAGAAAATTGTAAGTTTTCCTAGGCAGCAGGAAGTGTTGGTCACTAACTGAATAACCTACTTCAGTTATGCCTCCGTGGATGCACCTGTAGTTATCCAATCCGGTGAATTACATGAAAATAGCTGGGTGAGAAAAACACGCTGCAGTATATTTCAGATGAAGTAGGATGAACAGTACGAATTATGCAATAATTATCAATAAAGCAACACACAATAATGGGGGGAGCCATCTTATTTTCTATCACGGTAGCGAGAGGTCCACTTCATTCTACTTTTTTACAGCACCAGTCCCACTCTTCATGTCACAAAATGAAAACAAAGGCTAATTCACTCTGATGTGAACTCATTAGAAGCAGCAGACACATAATTTGGAAAACTTCCAGTTACAAATTCTCTGTAATATGTGAATCCTGGTATCTTATAGTAACCTATTAATTTTATTCTGTAAAAAATCAAGAAAAACTAAAATAGAAAATTAACTTAAATAACTAAAGTGTTTATAAGTTCTTCTTTTATTGTTCTGTCTATTGAATTCAACTGTTCTGAGAAGTGTCTGATTAATATCCTGGAAGAAAACAGGATCAGAAAGCAATTCTGTTATAGCCTAACTGACCTAATTCCAGCATTTCCCATACATTACACAATACTTGTTTGCTGAACACAGTTACGTGTTTAGTTTGATTCCATTTATTCTAGAGTTTTACAATCTGTGTAACATGGACTACAGAGTACATTTTTGAATGTGACTTCACATGCAAATAACAATTTTCTATAGCATGAGATAATGCAGTGCTCTGGATAGACAGCTTTGGCATCCTTCAGCTGCCTAGAAATCTATAATCTCACACAGAAAGGTTAAAGTGGACAGTGTGTCAGCTATATGGTTTTCATCATTCATCATCCAACTCTGTAAGATATGATTTCTCTGATACCCATTTCACAGATTCACTTCTATTCTGCTCCCATGTGGAGTTCTATTTACCCTAGCAGACTGGTTGGACTGGGTCTTTTTCTTTCTTCATTTTTTTTCCTAATAGATAAAACATTAGGATTTGTATTTGCAAAATTGGTAAATTATCGTGGCATTTTGCAAGGCTGAATATATCATTCAAAACCCTGTACTTCACCAGAGCTGAACTGCCTTATTTATCTATTTTGCTGTATTGAAGTGCAAGTACCAAGAAGTGTCAGAAAATGTAATCTTACCGTTAATAAATACATAGACTGTAGATTCCTTCTTCTTTTTTGCCGGACTTGTTGGGTATTTGCAGCTATAGTTTCCAGTGTCACTTGCTTGAGTTCTGCTCAAGGTCAGACTGCTGCAGGACTGCTTCCCATTCCTTCCACAGGCATATTTAATTACTTTCAGCCTTTCGCTATCCTTACTTAGAGTTTCAGGCAAAGACCATGAATGAACCATTTCCCCCCTGCAAATACAGATAAGGAAGCAGAAACAATTATGTTGGGCTGCAATTACACAGCTCCAGTTCCCAAGCTTTCTTTTTTATTATATTAGGCTATTTCTGGGGTTCTCTTTTATCTTGTTTTCCAAAAACAACAACAGAAACAACAAAGAACTACTAAACAATTGCCATTGAAGTTTACTCCCCACCTTTCCCCACAATATAAGGTTTCATTTTTTTCTAATTTCAGTTACAAAAAAAAAGAAAGTGTCAGGTGTATGAATTCCCAGCCAAATTCTCATAATCCAACTCAGGTGGTTACCTGCAGGTGAGATTTAAAGTCTGGCCTGCTTGAACAACATGCTGTGCGCCATTTATACTCAGCTCAGGAACTTTTAATTTTGATCCTGAACTAGATCCTAGAAAAACAAAGGAAAAAAACCAACATTAACAATGACAATGACAAATCATCCTGTTTCCAGTTCGCTCACATTTATGATGTTATACTGGAAGGGGAAAGCAAAGAATATGGAGCGCCTCCCTCTTCTGAGGAAAATCCTGCTGTCCTGACTCAGGACTCACATAGTCTTCTGTGAGAATTAGTCAGGAAAGAAAGTAGAAATGAAAGCTATGCAAGTTTCAGTCAATGACTTTGCTCTCAAATTGTTCACTGAACAAGCCATGAAGAAAGTTCAGGACCTTGAGGCTACACATCCAACCGAGGAAACGTGCCCTCAAGCACCGCTGGCTGCATTTCTTTAGGAAATGCTACCATGGTGGCCCCTTCAATGGGAAGGGCAAAAGTCAGCCACTTCCATGGCAAGAGATACGTATTGACCTCTAAGACACCGAACTCTCACTCAAACAACTTGCTGCAAAGCTGGAACTGCCCTGGAAGGAGTGAAAGGGGATTAAGGATCTTCCCTTCCTGACTGAAGGTCACGGCAGTGTTACCTATGGTGCCTCACTAGCTGCAGGCTTCCTACCAATGAAGTGGTGTCAAAAGGTAACTGGACAGCTCTACAATAAATTTTGAGAACAAGATCAAACCACCCTCCAGACCAGATTTGCTCTTTATTGAGAAAGGAAGCATGCCAACATGACCTTGGCCATGGCCAGACTGTTCTGGTATGGGTGAAACCCTTTGTGTCAGTAAAACATGAGGTGGCTTAGGACACTTGGAATCATCCAAGCAGACTTCTCACAGGCCATGTGAAGGCAATTTTTAGGAAGTCCATGGTCAGAAATTTAGAGCAACACCAGACTTTTCCTTTCATCAAGGCAGCAAGTGCTGTAAAGACAGAATGTTTTATCTTTGCCCCATATCAGACTATGACCACAAAAGCTTTCATGGCAAGCAGACAGAAATGCATGCCTTAGAGAAGACACAGTCCTTGATCCATCCTATTGCCCTTACAATGACAGCAACCTGCTCCAGAAGCTAAGAACATAGCAAGAAAAGATTTTGAAACAGCTGAAGTTGAAAACCAGTTTAAGTCTAAATCTGGACCTGAGTGCAATTTGTGAAGGTTTCAGTGTTGTGAGAGAGGAGCAGAGAGTACTGCAGATGACTTTACTCCACGAGAACGTATTTCTTTGCCAATATATGAAAGAAGCAGCACCACGTAAACAAGGGTAGTGCAAATTTTCCACTAGAACTCAGTGAAGTACAGTTTCAGTTTAGCTATTTTAAGCCCTTCCAGGAGGTCCCTGCCACAGCTAAATATGAACAGCTGTATGCACCAAACATAGGAGAAATACGCAAAGCTTATTTGGCTGCTATGGATCACCCACTGGAAAGGCCTCCCTCTTTTGTTCAATATAGAAGGAACTTTCGTACACCAACTCTGGCTGAGACTGGCAACTAAATTTTGTCTGTACAAACCCTCCAAAGTCAAAGGCTGTTCCAAATTCAGCAGCTTTCACCCAGCAGTAGATGTAGGCTCAGATTAGAGGCTGAATATCAAAACTTTATTCTGAGATGTGGACATGATCTCCTTCTGTCTGAGAAAGACCCAGAAGCCAAGTCTCTGCTTTTGGAGAGAGATCCTAAAAGTACAAGGATTTTGTATAAAAGTTAAAAAGGGACTGTCCTCACTTGCTGTTTTAGGGGCTTTGGTAGTTTTCTTCAAGGAGCCAGCTGTGTTTCATTTGTCAGTAAGTATTTCCTAGTGATTCCCTATAACATTGGTGGAGACAAGAGGTCTAAACCACCTTCTGGGACTACCTAGCACAATCCATGAAGAGAAGCAAATAGCTGATTAGGTCTGCAAAACTGTTTGCTAGAGGTCTTCAGAGACCTGTCCTCTTCCTTAGAAATATAGGAAACGTACAGTGTAGGAATTAACTAACATTTAACTAACCTTTGGCATCTAAGTTACATTTTATCTGCATTTTTCTTTTTAGCCCTGTATATATTATTTAAGCTGTGGCTCCAGTAGTTTTCCTGTATATACCATCATCCATCCCTATTCAAAACAAGATTTAAAGGGTACACTTAAACATAGACCTAAACTAAATTATAGCTCAGTCAAACAGGCTTCAAGCAAGGGCATAACAAGTTTTCAGAATAAAGATGTCCTGTAAACTGCACCAGAAATTTAAACAGTGACAAAGTACAAATACACAGAATTCCTCTGCAATTTGTCTAGACAATCTTCTTCTAACTAGAAATTAATATATTTTGCCGGCTGTTAAGAGGGAAGAAAAAAGACGCAGCAAATCTTTGAATAAGCAATCTGTTATGTGATAGATTGCAAACATACATTTTTCTCACCTGCCATTTATGGATCTCAACTCTGAAATGCTGGGTCTCCCAAAGAGCACACTGTGCTTTTATGGGATAGTCTCCCATAGATGCTTACATTCTATGAGCCTACTCATTTGCTGTTCTGAAGCAATGTCCCTGAAGCTAAACACTGAGAAATTGAGACAAGATATTACAAGAGCTTAGGCAGCTTCTTGAAGAGCAAACCAGGCACTTTGGCTGACAGGGTTTGTCAATGTCCTCCAACTAAAGAATCTGACAGTTTCATGAAACTACCATGCTCCTGCATTTCATTCGTATTCCTCCTGTCATCCCAGAATTGGAGGCTCAGATGCTCTCCCAAGAAGGTAGCATTTATACTCAGCTTTATGAGTCTTATTTCTTACTTCAGGGGAGGAATCTGGCCTCAAGCTTCCCTAAACTGCTCCTTATTTCAGGCTCTAGAAAAGCTGAAAGCATGCAATGGTGTTTACAAACAGTTCAGTATGTATGAAAAAACCATCAGCAACGGTCTGCCAGAGGAACCCACAGGGATCAAAGCTCAGCTGCTGGAGTTGCAACACTCAACCCAGTTGCTAGAGAGAACCATGCAGGTTGCGTCCAGTGTAAAACTGACAGAAAGGTGGAAAATCCATGTGAGTGAGAGATGCTGAGAGCAAAGCAGGAAAGTAAGTCTGCGGTGCCTGGTCATCACTGCGGTGCTGAGTGTCTGGCTTTGCTCAGCACCAGCACCCCGCCCAGGAGCAAAGCCAGCCATGCAGCACCATGCCCACGCCTGACCCGTGCTGAGGATCAGGACAGCAGCCCTGGGAATGTTGGCTGCTGTTGTTTTCAAAGTCTGCCGAAGGTGAAGAGGAAGAAATCACTACACATGTCACAAACTTTTATCTTGATAGCTCTACAGTGATACAAGCAAAGACATCCACATGAAAATCTCAAGATCTATCTTGAATTAAGCATACAAACCAAAACAGGAAGCCTGTATTAGAAGATCTGGCTCAGAGTAATCAAAATCAAATTAAAAACCAAACCCAAACCCAGGCCTTTTCATCCCATTCTGCAGGCAAAAAAGAAGCCCAGATATACTGGATACATATTCAAGCTTTTGCCCTTTTACACATATTATGTATATCTAAAAGACACCACAGTATTTGTAAATATTGTGGGTGGGATCTTAAGGAGTGCTTAGCATTTGTCTAACTTTGCTCCCATTGATGTAACCCAGAGTTTCAATATTGATTTCAAGTACATTTTAGACATTTAACTCCAGTAGTTTATCATATTAACACTCAAGACCTAACATCAGTGTATTTGGCATGACATATAAGATTTGTTATATATTCATTTATTTAGTTTTTCACTGACAAAAAGCTGAAGTAAAAGTTCTTATTTCAAGCCAATATTGTTTCTTCTACAAGTACGCGAGACAACGCTTTTACCAGCAAGATGCTAAGCCTTGAAGAAAAATAGCTTTATTTGACATCCTATCTATTCATGGGTCATTAGCTTCTTTACGTTTTTAAATGCTTCAAAACTGATGCAGAGTACAAATGCAATAGAGTTTGACATGTTTACCAGAAAAGAAAAAGGAAGGAGAATAGCAGGGAAATTCCTACTGTCAATATTTAGAAGCAGATTATGCCTTCTATGTACCTTCTCTGGGCATTTTACTTGACACTGTCTTTTCTGAAGGGTCATGGCTCAACAGGACACGTTCACTTATCATTGTGCCTGTCACTAAGCGACCATCAGCAGCCTACCCTCACACTGACCTACATTGGGGGGTGCAACTTCTTTTCATGTGACAACAAGAGAACTAATTAATCCTGATAAGTGAGGAATCTCCTCCCACAGGGAAAGGGGTGATTTTGGGGAGCATATTCTATTTGTTTCGGAAGGCTTATTAGCTACATGTGAAAGTCAGTCAACAGTGTTGCTTAATTAATGAGCAGACATTTAGATTGCAAAAGTTAGCTATTCTATCTAAAATAAGTGAAAGATTTTTTTTTTTTTTAAGAAAGCAGAGGGAATAATATGTAATTTGCAAGGGAACAAAAGAATAAACTTTCTTCAATTATTTTCTGCCTTGAAAAAAAGGTGATCTTGTTCCTGAATGAAGTAAGCGAAAATTTGAATTATCTGCTAACCAAAAATACTGTTTACAAGTAATTAAAAAAACCCAAAATAAATGAACATGTATGTATTTTTCCAATATCTTGTGTGAGTTCGGTTCTACAGACAAGTAACCACGCATACATGATCAGCTTCCACTGATTTCAGCTAAATCTCGATTTCTCTTAGAAGGATAGATCTGCTGAACTCAACATTGGGACCACGTTCTGCATTATTATCCCCATTCTGATTTTTCCAGTTTCTACTTTTAAATTTCCTTCCATACACTGTGAATTTCTGCTACTGTTGACTAAAGAAAGTAAAGCCAAAAGCTACCTTTATGGTTTAGTTAAAGAAAATCCAATCATAAAATATTAGAAGCTACTAGAAATTTCCTTGACATTGACAGGTTTGGTGTCTTTTTACTTTTAACATCTTTTTCATAATTTCAGGCATAGCGTCTGTCTTCCAACCACTTCAGTTATTCTGAACATGTTGACTAATCTATTTCCACCTGCACAATGAGAGGCTAAGGAGAATGATTGGTTTATCTTTGCAACTTCAGTGTATACAAAGAATCTGACCTTCTGGGTTTAAAGTGCCATCTGTGGGCA